ACTCTTGTTTATCACATTTCTTTCTCCAGGAAAATTCATTCAGTCAGGTGCCATCTCCACACTGAAGGATGGCTGCAATGGATATTCACACTCCATAGCTTGTCCTTGTCATTCAACCTCTCAGACTGCTTCTTGATGCTATCCTTCCACTTATCTCAGCCAACCTCTTGCCACTTACCGTCAAGTTTTTCCTGCAACGTTTATTTTTTTTTAAATTTATTATTTTTATTATGACCCACAAGATTGTCTGGTATTTATTTTAATGAGATTCAGGTGACTCCAAGTCATACGCTCAGAAAAATAGAATCCTGTCTTGCTAAGGACTGAACAAAAGCAACCATTTTAGCAGGTTAGTAGAGCACTAATCACATCAACTCATGAGAATGTCACAGAAATTTAAAAAAATCCCCCTTGTGGGTTTTGGGAACCATTTGGGGGGGGGGGGGGGGGAAGAATAAACGACCCAATGCTCCTTAAAAAAGGTTGTAAATATTTAGCTGCTGTTGATAATGTTTACTATTACTTGTAAACAGATGTCAGAATGAAATTATTTATGAAAGGAGTGAGATTAGAAGGGCAGAATGTTAGACAGATCTGTGTGCCCCTTTGTCCTTTGAAAATAGTTTGTTTTTTCAAGCCTCGATAAAACACAGGCTGACATATCCACCCACTCTTTACTACTTCACAATATTCCAGTGCTGCAGACATGCTCTGTACATGCAGCAGAGAGATGCCAGTTAGCATTCTGGTAGAAACCAAGCAGCGTCAGTAGAGAATGTGCATTCTCAGTTGTGTAATGTACTTGCCTACAGCAACCTTTTCAGATGATTTCAGAATGCATGACTGCTTCCCAATAGTTTTTTTAATTGACATTTTTCAAATGTTTGCAATCAAGTCAGGGAGAAGCATTTCATTCAGCATTCTACAAACTACTACCAATCACAGCACAAAATGTATTCATTCAGTCACAGAAAATCTCAATGCCCAAATGGGGCAATTCTGACGACAACAAAGGCATATATATGTTACACCAGTGTCTCTGTGGCAAAGTTTTTCAGTTCTTAACCTCAAGCTCTGAAGTTTGTAGTTTGGTTTCAGAGACTTCATCAGTTGGTTCATAAATGCAGTTTTCAGAGATCCTTGGGGAAAGTCACTTGAGCTAACAGACATTCATGCTTTGTATGATTACATTCTTCTTGACTAGGCTGTGCTTCGTCTATAATTCAGATTCGTTCGAGGTATAGGTTCTTCTTCTTCGCATCCTTTTGGATGCCGTGACCATATACACATCATGATGTTGTAAAGTTTCTCTGATGTAATTTTTTAAATCTTGTTCTTCATCTACCTTGTGCTTTGCGTCCAACTCTTGAGTCCTAGACATATGGTATGGTTGTAGAGTATTCTCTTTATTGGGCAAACCATTTCTATGTCTTGTATAATTGTAACTGATTCTGTATAACACTTAGTGCAATGTGGTCACTCCTCTCAACTTTCAACCTTTAAGATCTTTCTTTGTTTGTTGTGTATTGTGTTATATCCAGAAGCCATGAGTTCACTCCTTAGGGGCGGTAATGGATATCGCAACTTTCGACCTTGATGTCTAAGTGTGTAAATCTGGGAGAACTGGTTCTGTACCTGACAACCCCCGGGTGCAACCCGGACACATCCTCTCACCCGGTTTAACCTTTAAAATCGGTTTAGCCAACCCCAAGTAAGGTTAGGGATAAAACAAGCAAGTTGTCAAATTTTCATAATATATGCTGACCAACGTATGAAGCACAATCACATAAGACACAATGACTGATACACATGATGTGTTGACTTACTGTTTCACTTCTCCAGCTTGTTCCCAAGGCCAGATGTATGTTGTCGTCAAACCAGATATATCGGCTAACAACAGATGTGTATATGCCAGGAAATTCTGCAGCTATCAGGAAAGAATACAAAAAATAAAATCATATGTGTTAGATTTCTTACTGGTTCTAGGTAATTCTGACCCCTCTCATTATAACTGTTGTTGCCAACTTTTCAGTTTTTCCAAACAGTAGTGTTATATTTTGCATAGAGAGGAAGGGAAATCACAGTACATGGCCCAGTTAGGGCTGGGACGTCCCCTCTCTCCATAGCAAAATACCTGGCAGTATTGTAGAGACCATGCATTGCACATTCAGCATGATCCCTCTCTCCACCTGATTTGAAACAGGTTTGGAACAAAGCATGCTGCAAAAACTGCTGGATCAGAAGATCAGTGCTCTGTCCACCTGCTGTAGTTTCCCTCCTAGACCAACCACCAAGCAAGACCTGGTCTGCCCTTTTATAACATCATGTTTTCTCTTCCAAAAATTTATCAAATCTTTACTGAACAGAAATAATTTTGCCACATTGAACATCACAAGGAGAAAACAGGTGTAAAGATTAAAATATATGACCAACATATGAAGCAATTCAAAGAGAACAAACCTGGCACAAATCCAACTTCATCTACAACAACCTTTCTCTCTCTTGATGGCCAATCAATCTGAAAACATAATGATTTCACATGTTCTGCATTTATGAAATGGTTACAGACAAGACATTTTAAGTAAAAAAAAAAAAAAAAAACAATGACACTTTTCATTTCTACTTGCTTATTTTTATTTCAAATGGCTGTCTTCTTTTTTTCCTTCTGTGTTCGCTCTTAAAAGGACAACTGTGTTTAAATAGTAAAACTAGTCCCCTTAAAATTTTGACCACCCCCCCCCCCCCTGCATTGCCAGCACGTTGTAGTTTACATCTTTCGGCTGCAATATCTCATCGCCTTTTTTTCATCGGGTGTTTATCTGAAAATGTACATCCAATTTCAGCAAACTCCCCCAACAGTTGCCTTTTATGGCATACTTGTAACGGCAATAGGTCTGTTTAGAGGGATTTCAAATAGCTGAATACCTACAGAAACAAGACAATTAACAAGCAATCTGAAAGTGAAATGTGGGCTCTGGATATGTGGTTACAGAAACACAGGTAGTATTTTATGGAAACACACACAATCAAACACAGAAGGTTCTGAAGAAACCAGGATAAAAAGAGAGATTTTAATAATTTTAAAGAGAGGCAAGGAGAAACATTTTGGACTTTTCAACAGACATAACCCTCTTATAAAAACAACAGTCGGTTGCATTTCATTTACAGGAGTCCAAAACCAATCCCAGCATATTTTTTTGCTGTTTGTGATTTCACTAAGCAATTTTAAATTCAGTAGTTTGCGACTGCTGTCTGAAAAGTCAGCTCTTGATACTACTGTTGAAACCAGTGAAAAGCGAGCTGCTGCCAAATCACCTGCAGCTGGGATCAAACCAGGCACCTCAGAATTTCAAAGTGTGTTCGCAATGCTTAAGCCACTTACACCAACATAAAAACCACACACCAGGGAGGACAAGTTGTTGGAGATCCACTGCATAAGTTTCACTGTGAAGCACTGACTGAGTACTGTGAAGATGACTTATGACAGTGATGCACTGTGAAGTGCGGGGATGCACTGCAATACATGTGACTAAATAATGATGGGTGGGTAGACTGACGTACTGAAGATGATTGTGACATGCACTGTGAAGATGACTTGTGTCTGACTGTGTGACTGTGAAAGTGCACAACCAGGGAGACTTGTGACACTGACGTATGTGAAGATGAGATCCACTGCAGATGACTTGTGAAGACTTTCACTGTGAAGATGACTTGTGTCTGACTGACGGATGTACTGTGAAGATGACTTGTGTCTGACTGACGGATGTACTGTGAAGATGACTTGTGTCTGACTGACGGATGTACTGTGAAGATGACTTGTGTCTGACTGCCTGTGTGAAGATGACTGACTGACGGATGATGCACTGTGAAGATGACTGTGTGATGCACTGATGATGACTTGTGCACTGTGAAGATGACTGACTGAACTGACTGTACCCCTGACGGATGTACTGTGAAGATGACTTGTGTCTGACTGACGGATGTACTGTGAAGATGACTTGTGTCTGACTGACGGATGTACTGTGAAGATGACTTGTGTCTGACTGACGGATGTACTGTGAAGATGACTGACCTGGACTGATGCACTGTGAAGATGACTTGTGACTGACTGACTGACTGATGCACTGTGAAGATGACTTGTGACTGACTGACTGATGCACTGTGAAGATGACTTGTGACTGACTGACTGATGCACTGTGAAGATGACTTATGACTGACTGCCTGACTGATGCACTGTGAAGATGACTTATGACTGACTGACTGACTGATGCACTGTGAAGATGACTTATGACTGACTGCCTGACTGATGCACTGTGAAGATGACTTGTGACTGACTGACTAACTGATGCACTGTAAAGATGACTTGTGACTGACTAAATGACTGATGCACTGTGAAGATGACTTGTGACTGACTGACTGATGTACTGTGAAGATGACTTGTGACTGACTGACTGATGTATGTCAATCGATCAGTTTAAAAAATCTCAATCTGGATGGCAGACCAACAAGGTAAATACCAGATACCCCCATCAACCTCTGAAGAAGATATAATTAGGGTACCCATAATGGCTACACCAGGCAGATGTAACCTGCAGTCCTGTGTGGGTAAGGACGATTTCTGTCTTAGTATAATCAGTTCAGTTGATTTCTGTCTTGCCTTTGTATTTTGTGTCCTTGTCTGCCTGTCGCTGATACTGCCTGTGAGTAAATAAGTGCAGGACTTATTTCACGCCCATGGTGTTTCGGACCAATGAGTCAAAATCAATTATTATTTTTTTTAAGTAGACTTGATGTGGATTCAAACCCAAGACTTTTGGGCTAGTAGGCAAGTGTTTCACCACTAGGTTACTGCGGTCCCAGCCACAACCTGTTTTTGTTTCTAACTGTAGTTTAATTTGGTAGTGGAGACTTCCTGTTTATGAACTGTTTAATATAAAACAGAAATGACAAATAAATCTTTAAAAAAGAAGTAGACCCAGACTTAGGCTACCACCTCTTACCCGGACTAGCCTGGAACATTGGTTGTGTGCACCTCCAACTGGTATGTCCAGGTAAACTAGCTTGCTGAGGTCTGGACTGAACCGTGGAAACCGGACAGCTCGACCTTCCTCACTTAATATTTCTGAAATTACCAAAAGCATTCTCTCAATGGCAGATAGCTGAGAGACAAAAATACATACAATGATGAGTTTTATGGGAGTAGACCTTCTGGGCAGACCAAGAAGATGGTGGAGAGACAATATACAGGTAGACTTAAAAACATTAGGAGTCATCAAACAGAAAAAGAAGGTCAATCACAGAGGTGAAATAAAATGGGTAATATCTGCAGCAAACAACCTCAAGGGCTCAGAGTGCTGAATAAAGAGAAGCCAATTTGAATTATCAAAGAATTGATTTTTAACTGTCATTTACTGTACTTGTTAAATCATTTCTTAAGGGTCGTGTGGGTGGAGGGTAATCTTCAGCCCCACAGTCCAGAGTTTCATGGCACAGCGAAGCATGAGAGGTACACTGGATGTACATGAAGTCTTGTTAATTAGCACAGGACTGCCCTATTAACCGTGGGATGCTGATGTATATGCTTAAGGGGAATCTGAGCACCTATGGATGTGTCAGAAGTGCTATAAAGGTAACTCAACTCAAGGGTAGTGCAGCTGTTACAAACTGTGTAGGTTAGGTTTCATTTTGCCCTTGACACAAAAAGATCCTATCTTTATCCATGGGTCTCCTAAATGAGGACCTAGTATATTAGCCCCTCTGTAGATGCTCTTCAAACAATTATTGTTCACAACCTGGCAGGTCAAATAGTGGTTTAACTTTTAAGAGAATTAGCTCCCAGACTACCTTTAACTCTGTCAGATTTGAACAACATATTATACATTTCTGGATGCTTCCAAAGAATATACACTATTCTTCCTGTAATCTATCACAGATACATTTTATATTAACCCATGGTATTATTTGATTCACTTCTTCTCCCGTCTGGTTAACTCCAAGTTTACATATTATGCTAAGTGTAAGAAAAAAAGCTTGACTCAGGAACAAAGGCATTAGGACAGTTGGCACAGAACAACACTGAACTCTATCAGCAGCCAACAAATCAAATGGTTTGGCTATGTACCAAGACTGGCAACTGACAGGGCTGCACCGAGAGCAATGTTATACAGATACAGCGGTAACAGAGCCAGAGGTACTGTACAGAAGATAAACCCTACTGCACTGATGCTGCGAGGCATTTCAGAAGTAGAGAAAAGAAGAAGAAAAACAACTGAAGAGTTAAGTATTTATTGTTTAAGCTCAAATTCCTGAGAATTAAGGACTTAAACTGACAACTGCTTGGTAGTAAAAAGTTAACTCTCTCAGTCACATGTTTATATGTTCCTACCAGAAGCCATTAAACACAAGATGCGTCAATTTAACGTTTTTCATTGCTACCCTGTGATAATCTGATGCTAAACCCCCGGAACTGAAAGAGTTGAGGTGAACATGTTGGGTTAATAACTGGTAATAAAAAAAGAAAACTCAGTACTTTAAGGCGATGCATTTTTAATCAATAACTCAACTTTCTAGTCCTAGCTGGTAATCTGTGTCTGGACTATGGTCTTGTTGACTCACATGTTGTGTATACATCCATTTTCTTATTATAACTTATTGTGTGCAGACTGCTGGTTTGTCACCTTTAAGGCATATATGCTCTGACTATAAAGGGAATGTTGATCCTATCTATGTCAGCCAGGCCCCAAGGGGGAACCAGTTGTTAGGATGATCACAGAAACATTGTAGAAAGTTCTTGATCAGTGTGAGCCCTTGTCCTAGTGTACCTCTGCATTCTGAACCCTTCTAAATATCAACATACTTTCTTCCGGTTCTTCAGCAGTCATAAATACAGCAAAAGTCAGATAAACTAAAATATGAGCGCTAACTGAAATGCGCTTTTATAGACGAATGATGAGAATATACTGGACAGGTAAAAAGAGTAATGAAGATGTCTTGAAAGAAACGGACTCATGAAGAGAGCTGATTGCCCACATCAGAAAGAGACAATCTACATTCTTTAGTCATATGATGAGAAGGAGAAAACTGGAGTATATAGTGACGGTAGGAGAGTTGGAGGGAGACCGAGAGAACAGATGCTGGACAGTCTGACATCATGGCATGGAGGATCATTTGTATCAGAATTGACTGAAAGTACAAGAGACAGAAGGTTGTGGATAGACACGACTGCCAACGCCACACGGCATGGATTCTAAGAAAAAGATACCACAAGTAGACCAAGAAGACAGTAGTGAGATAATAAACAGGCAGACCTACAAACAGACAGAACCACTTAACAGTCAGAGAGATGGAGATAGGTGTTATCCACGGCAATGAGTCTCAAGGGCTCGGGAATGCTGAAGAAGGGAGAGAAAGAGGAGGAGGACAAGAAGAATCTACACAATACACAATTTACTATTTTGTGTTGTACAATAAAAACTCACCGTAAGAATTCTTCTCAATGTCCAGAAAGTACAAATAACTCCTGTAGACAACAGAAAACATGAATTTTAGAATAATTTAAATGGTTATGTTGTCTGGGACTCAAAGAATTAAAACACTGTACTACAGATTAAAGTAAAGTAAAGGACTCTCTTTAAACCAGAGACACAACATGCATATGGTGCTGAATTTATATTTTAAGAGTAATCTAAACTCAATTGTTTATATAGTAACATACATGCTAACCACCTTTACTTCCCAAGATATTTCCTTAAAAATCCAACTTGATGGACATTTGAACTTCTCACCTTCAGGCCAGCAGGCAAGCATCTTCATCAGGAGTGGCAGCCTTTTTTTTTGGGTGTCCATGTGTGACACAGTCGTCTCTTTTGTTCTCAACCCAGGTTCACATATTGTTTGTCACAACGGTGGCGGGTGATTGTTTAAAGACGAGAAGAAAGATGGTCGTGTTGTTGATGGTGACGATGATGCTTGTAAAATAAAGTGTCTGGAAACAACTATGCTCTTCTTTAAACTTCTTTAATATGGTACTTCAACAATGTCACACAATTAAAAATGATATTCTTTATTTACTTTGTTAACTGGTTCTATTGTCTTTAACTGCCACCGGCTACTAGTGCAGGTTGGGCTAAAAGCTTTGTTATCTAATGCCGTCTAACTACTTATCTATGCTCTGGCCTCTTCTTCGTCTGTCTCCGAATCAGTGTCTGACCCCGAAGTGGTATCTACACCTGAATCCGGCTGGACCCATGGGTGGTGGAAAATGTGAAACTCTCTTGCCTCGCCTCGCTCGCAAAGTCCGATTCACTGCCCGATCGTCGGTAACTTGTTATCACGTCGGCTTTGAAAAGTGAGAGTTAGTAGCCTCACTATAATCTACCCGCTACTGGTACCTTGTCCGTATTTAGCTCAGCGTTAGCTTGAGAGGAGAGAAACACAGGCTACCTCAGAGATCAGCATGATCGCTGCTATGTTCGGCTTGATCTGCTGGGTCTGAAAGCTGTAGTGTTTTCAAGTCTCAATGCGACACGCTGACTAAAAATCAGTCAGTCCGTCATTTCAGCCAGAAAAAACAGTGAGAGGTAGTAGCCTCACTTAAAACTACCCGCTACCAGACACGGAGTGAGAGTTAGTAGCCTCACTAAAAACTACCAGCTACTGACACGTTGCCTCAGTTTTAGCTCAGCTGTCGCTTGAGAGGAGGGTCACAGGTTTCCTCAGTCACTGGTGTTGATCGCTGCTTAGTTCGGCTTGATCTGCCAGGGCTGAAAGCTGTAGTGGTCCCAAATCTTGAGTCGATTCGCCGACTAAAAAGTCCGATTGTTCGATTGTCCCAGCACTAAGCCTTGTGTACTGCTCTGAACACCCTGGGAGGTCTACTTTTAAGTGGTCCTCCTAACCAGGCTTGTTGCGTAGCAGAGGGCAAGCTTTTTGCGAAAGCTAAAGACCGATTGAGACGACTCAGCCACCAAGAAGTCAGCAGAACCCGGATCAAGATTTGTGAGTATAGTTTACTGTTAAACCACTTCAAATCCTTGATCAGGGCTTAGCCAAACTAAACCACTAAAACCGGAACATAATGCCTAACACACCGCCGATAGCGACGCGGAGACAAACGAGAGCAAGCTCACAGGAGCCAAGCGTATCAACTAAACCCACCGCGTTGAAATCTCGCAGCAAGGCCCCTAAAGAGACGGTTAACCGGGTGGCAGACAAGGACCCGATACTGCCGGCTATAGCAGACCAGACAGAGATGGCTAGCAAGGATCTCCAAACAACGGTAATGCCGGTCCAGGAGGAGGAGGAAGTGGGCACCTTAGCCGAGGTTACCCAGCCCACCCCCCCATAAAGACAGTGACCAGCCAGAGGCGTCACCGACAAAATGCCCTCCCTCCTACGCCATTATGGTGGCGGAAGGGACAGCCAAACATCAACCGGCTAAAAGAACCATCAAAACTCGGATCATCACCCCCTCGGCTGCGACCCATGTACCACCGCCCAAACAAAGTCACGGCACTAAGATTAAAGTGACTCAAACAAAGGGCTCCGCGGCTTCTCTTGGGGCACTCACCGTCGGCGAAGTTAAATCGGCTCTAGAGCCCTTTGTCGGCACCGGGTCAATAGCCTATGTCTCTTCACGATCACAAAGAGACAGTTTCTTTATTATCGTGGACCGGAACCAACGATCAGTACCCCTCCTGAAAGAAATTGTCGATACCAAGGGAGGAGTTTGCCGACCAATGCTACATGACGTGGAAGTCAGACTTGAGAAAGCGACACCGGAATCATGCATTGTCGCGAAGGGTATCCCCCTTACAGCAGACGACAACCTCATCGGCATCCTCAGGGAAGAGAACCAGACCTGGCAGATAACTCACACCGTACGACTGGCCAATAAAAACGGCCAACCAACCAGAGCGGTTAAAATAACGCTAACCGGAACGGAGACGCCATCTTGCGTGAACTTTCAGGGGCGCAAAAAGCTCTGTGAAATCTTTGTGCCACCCCTGCTGCAGTGCACGCAGTGCCAGTCGTTCGGCCATGGATTTAAATCCTGCCGAAACAAACCTGTATGCCGGCTATGCAGCGGAAGCCACAGTTACCGAGACTGCCTTAAAAAAACCAGTGACAGGTACCAAGAACCAAACAAAGACAGGTTGTGCTCTAATTGCGGAGGGAACCACAGCGCTAGGTACCTGGGCTGCCCCCCAAGCGCAAAGAGGAACAGAAGGCCTGGAGAGAGTCAGTGTTGACAAAGACCCCTCTTAAGGAAGTAAAGTTCCACCTACACCAAACTAAAACACAACCTCAACTGGCCCCAGCATTGAGAACAACCCAAAAAAAGAAGGCGATCCTAGACACGGTCGCACCTCCGGCCAGTAGCCCGCCCCCCAATACAGGCAATAAAGAAACGGAAGCAATTGAAAGCCTACAAAGAGAGCTCCGTATCGAGAAAGAAAGACACCGCCAATGTGAAACGCAGCTGAGAAAGGAGATTGAAATCATGAAAGAGGCAATCAGGGAGATCGGAGAAAGACACCTGTATAGCCAAACCAGGATCGCCAAGCTGGAGGGAACGCTCAAGCTCAACGAGCACCCCCCCAGTTCGGACCCCACCACAGAACCTGTCCTAAATAAGCTCCTGCGCCTTGCCAACGAGTACACAGACCAAAAGGTTTCAGAAGTCGACGACCATTATTACCCCAAGGTCGGCACGGATACGAGCTCAACAAGCGACGACTCCTCCGAAGCCTTAGACCCAGAAGCCAACACAGCCTGAACGGTACGAGTGTTAGACCTGTAACCCGCACATTACCGAACCAACCATGGACAAAAACCACCTACAAATAATCCAGTGGAACTGCAGGGGCGTAAAGAAAAACCTCCCAGGCATTATGAACACCCTGGGAGACGACAACACAGTTTACGCCCTGCAGGAGACCCTGCTAAGCAATAGCGACAAGTTTACCTGCCCCGGTTTTCAGATTATCAGAAACGACAGGCCGGCCGACAAAGCAGGAGGCGGAGTCGCCCTGCTTATCAACAACAGATGGATAATCACCGACCAGGACTCGTTCTCAACCGAAAACCTCGAAGCAGTCTCCGTTGACCTAGCAGTCGAAAACCGGGACATCCGGATACTGAATCTGTACAGTCCAGCTGGGAAACTGGAGAAGGCCGATATTAAACAAATACAAGACCGTATGCGCAACAACATGCTCATTCTCGGTGACCTGAACTGCCACCATCCTTTGTGGGGGGAAATCAGGGCGGACCAATCCGGAATAAGGCTAGTCGAATTCATTGATACCAACAAACTAACAGTCCTGAATGACGGGTCAATGACTAGAATTAGTCCCCACCCCAGGCAGAGAGATACGGCTATTGATATTACCCTGGCCACACCAGACCTAGCGGGTTGCACCTGGACCGCGGTCGACGATTCAAGCTCCGATCACCTCCCAATCCTTATACGCACCCGGGCCGTTCCATCCAGAAATGCCGAGAGCTGTCGCCCTAAATTCGCCCTTAAAAAAGCCAGATGGGAACCATTCCAGAACGAGCTGGGGGCGACAACACTCGACATAAACGCAGATGAGGGAATCGAACAATATGCAATTAGGTTCACAGAAACCATACTCAAAGTGGCCGCCAGACATATTCCCAACAAAAATATGCCAGAAAGAATCATTGGAACCACTAAAAGGGCCCCACCTCAGTGCACAGTTAGGCACTCAAAAACAGCAAGCTGGTGGAATGACCTCTGTACCTCGACCCACGCAGATAGGAAAAAGGCCCTGCAGAGATTTCGGCGCCACAACACACCAGCCAACTACCAGCTATACAAAACCGAAAGAAACAAAGCCAACCGAGCCGTGAGAAAAGCCAAAGAAACAAGCTGGAGGTCATTCTGCCAGAGCCTGACGCCTAGCACTCCCACCACAGACGTCTGGAAGCAAATAAAGACCATACAGGGCTGCAACCAACGCAAGCAAATCCCGACTATTAAATTTCCCACCCCAGCGATCTCAGACAAAGACAAAGCAGAAGCCTTCGGACACTACTTTCAGCACATCAGCTCGAACAGTAGAATAGGAAGAGCAGAACTAGAAAGAAGAAGCCAGGTCAAAGAAGTGCGAGATCTACCCCCTAACGCCGGCAGCGAACCCCACTACCTCGACAAAGACATTACGGTAGACGAAGTCGTCTCTGCGATTCAGGACAAAACAAACACAGCGGCCGGCCCAGACATCCTTAACTATGCCATTCTCAAAATGCTGCCGAAAGCAACAGTCACCGCACTAACCAACCTGTTCAACCTAGTGTGGCGAAGTGGCGAAATTCCTAAAATGTGGAAACAGGCGACGGTCGTCCCAATCCTTAAACAAGGCAAGGACCCCCAAAGGATCGACTCATACCGCCCCATCTCACTCACGTCCCACCTGGGAAAGACACTGGAAACGATTGTTAACAACAGAATATCTTTCCACATGGTAAAGAACAAACTGTTTAGTGTCACCCAATCGGGCTTTAGAGCCGAAAGATCCACCATGGATCAGATAATCAAACTAGAGGACCACGTGAAAAGAGGGTTCCGACGCGGGAATAAAACATTCGCTGTGTTCCTAGATCTAGCCCAAGCGTACGACCAATGCTGGAGGGAGGCAGCGATAGTTAAACTCCACCGAATCGGCATCACTGGTCGAACTCTCCAGTACGTGAGGAGCTTTCTTCAAGACAGAACATTCTCGGTGGCTGTAAGGAACGAGGTATCTAGACCGCACACACAGGAGAATGGTACCCCCCAGGGGTCGGTTATCTCCCCTTTGATCTTTAACATCCTTGTTAACGACATGAGCAAGGCTATCACGAACTCAGAGGTTGAGATATCGCAGTTCGCAGATGACTGCGCGCTGTGGTGCAGCAACCAAGTATTAACAACCACCCGCGACATGCTACAAAAAGAGATAAACCACATCTCCGACTGGATGAGGAAGTGGGGATTCAGCATCAACACACAAAAATCTGTGATGATGATATTTAACAACAAACACACCCGTTGGTACGATCCCCATGACTGTCGGATCACAATCAGTGGGAACACCATTGTTAGAAAAACCAGTACCAGATTCCTGGGTATGGTCCTCGACCAACAGCTCAGCTGGCGAGATCACGTGATACAGACAGCAGCCCGATGCAAACTACAGTGCAACATGCTCAAAATTATAAAAGGGTCGGGGTGGGGCGCCCATACCAAAACAATGGTAATGTTCTACAAAGCCTTCATCAGGGGGAATATGGACCACGGGTCGATAGTCTACGGCGCAGCGAACCCTAACTCCCTACTCAAGCTAGACAGCATCCAAAGCCAAGCATTAGCCACAATCCTAGGCACGGCAAGAAGCACAAGTAGGGAGGCCATGGAAGTCGCGTTAGGCATCCTCCCCCTGAATCTGAGAAGAAAACAATTGACCTACAATTATTGGATGAGCACAGGCCAGCAACCCGATCACCCAGCTACCCGCGCTCTCCAGCCCAATAGATACCCGTGGGAGAGCAAAACCAAGCCCATCCAGAAATTCAGACGTCCGACAGCATGGATTACCGCCAGGGAGTGTGAAAGAGAGGAGGTAGCCAATGCTATCACTAGCCTCAGGAAACATTCCCCAACCCACCCCCCTTGGGAATTCAAACTCCCCACAACGGACACCAGCCTCTCCAAACTCGTAACAAAAACCACTGAAGCAGACGAAGCAAGGAGGATAGCTGAAGATTACATTAATACTCTGACAGCCGGAGCCCTGGCCATCTACTCAGACGGCTCCAAAAACCAGAACGGGGAGACTGGCGCAGGGATAGTGTGCCCTAGCAGAAAGGTCGAGAAATGCTACCGACTCCCAGACGACACAGCGGTATACACAGCGGAGCTGGTGGGCATCCTAAAAGCCATCGAAACAGCGGCAGACAACCCACCAGCAAAGCTCTGCATCCTTACCGACTCCCTCTCCTCAGTTCTGACCCTTAAAGGACTGGGTAGATGCAGCAGACCTGACCTCAAGGAGCAAATCCTCGTATTGTCTACGAAACTCGCCCAGGAAGGATGCCCAGTCCATATCTGCTGGATACCGGCCCACATAGGCATCCCTGGGAACGAGGGGGCAGACAAGGCGGCCAAGAAGGGACTACTAAGCCCCAATGCGATCAATATCGGGCTAGGCAAATTCGAAAGCAAGTCAATCATAAAGAGCTACATATACAAAGCATGGAAATCTCAGTGGGCACTTAGTAAAAAAGGTAGACACGCATTCGGGATACTGAAAGAACCCAGCCCCAGATCCCAAGTGAAAGATACGACAAAAATCCCGCTCATAAACACACTATGGAGACTAAGGCTGGGTCTCTGGAAGGACAAATCTACCAACCCAATGTGTACCGAATGCCTGGCCTACAACTCTACGGAGCACTACCTGCTAAAATGCGACAAATTTAAGAAAGAAAGAAAAGAGCTGGCCAATTACTTTGAAACTAAAAACGAAGCCATGACTACCCGGGCCTGCCTGAGAGTTAACGGCCCACCCATAGTTCAAAAAATGATCAAACAGTTTATCAGCAGGACAAGCAGCAAGGACACCTACTTTTAATCCGCTCCGAGCCACCTGCAGAATACTGCAAACCGACGCCGCCACAACAAACCGACGCCGGACCGGTAAAGCCAGCCCCGCCGACGTCTCTCTCTCATCCTAGCAAGCTATCAATTCCACTCTCTCCTTCGACCTTACTTTATTTCCTAAAAAAGCCTACATTCCACGTAGCACCCTCTAGGCCTCCTCTCCTTTTTCCCACTGCATCCTTCTCTTTCCTGCAATTGTATGTATTCATGCCATGCACAGGTCATCTGTGTCGTTTTTATTTGCACAACACACACACACCACACAAACATACGGCAACATTTGTTAAAACAGACGTACACAAATATCCACAAAGCAAAGCACGCAAAACACTACACTGAACACCCACGATTTGAAAAAAAAAAAAAAAAAAAAAAAAAAAAAAAAAAAAAAAAAAAAAAAGAGGCCAAAACAGAAATGCTCGGCCAAAAAAAAAAAAAAAAAAAAAAAAAAAAAAAAAAAAAAAAAAAAAAACCGCTAACGCACAAGCACATGCCTGATGCGAAAAAAATAAAAGCAACAAAAAGATGTTAAGTGGGGTCCCTGAAAAGGGCCGTGTTATTGCGCTCGCAAAGTCTCGGACTTATCGATTTCGTGGTGGTGTGAAAGGTGACAGCCCAGGCACAGTCAGTGATCACGTGCAGGCAAAGCAGCTCAAACCAGGAAGTTCGCTCATATACCAAAAAGACTCCGACCGAAAGAAGACAGGCACACAGTTTAACAGGATACAACCTAACACCAAAAGGACCAAAACCCAACACAGCAAAGAAAACAGGACACAAATATAACCAAGCCCCTGAGGCAGGTTGAAGCTGTCCAAATTTTTTCCTTTTTGATGTTCAATCAAACGACTCAAAGTACGTGGGAAACAAGAGTAGGGACCTAGGGGGGGATATAAGTGCTTGTTAAGCACAAGTTCTAACAATAAGTGTGAAGGCTACAAGGGGTCTTGTCGTGCAAACAGCACAACACTAAAAAAGGGGGTAGGGATACTGACTTTGCTACACATGGGCCATACAGAAAAAAATCCATCATAAGCCTACACCCAGATTTCCTCATAAAATATTTGTATGGGCTAATCTAAGCTTATAATCTTTTGTTACACCTCTGGCTAGACACATTTACCTACTGAAGCCCTTCTATATATTCCTAACTGTGTCTGCTCAAGCTGGTTATTTGCAGAAATCATTGAGGGAAAGTGGGAGGAAGAAAAGGGGATGGGGGAACAAGTAAATTATACAGTAATCTCACACCATCATCGCCGGCCAACGAATATGGCTTGGCAGGCCAGTTTTGGCTAAAATGCGCCATAGTTTGCCCACCCTTAGCCACAGCTACTGCTAAGCAAATCTGCTAATGAAGAGACCTCATTTATTAACTCTTTCAGGTCTAGTTATGACATTTTTGGTTAGGAAATCCTCTGTAAGACTGAGCCTGATTTCTTTAGGTTGAGTGCACTGGTGTCCACATCATTTGAAGCTTGAACAGAACTTATATCTATAAGTGTGGCTGGGGTAAAAACCCTGCAACCCTGCAGGTTTCCTAGGTTTGGAGAAGGTGGGAAAATTCTGCAATACCCATACCCTTTGGATATGATACTGTGGTAATGGATAGAGAAGAAAAGAAAATACCGACATCCTACAAGATTTGAGCATTGAGGAGAACTGGTCCATAAACAGGATCCTGCCCTGAAAGCTGAGATATTTTGATATATGTTAAGTATCATGGTTGCTTGGAGAGAAGGCGGAGGATGCAGTCGGCAGAAAATGAGGCAGAGGCCGACCTATGCACAGTAGACAGGAGATATTGAAGATACAGTGACTATGAAAGCACATGGGGCTGCAGAACTGGCTAGAGAAAGAGACTTTCAGGAGTCCTGTGGTGGGAATGTCATTCTGTAAAGAAATGTCTTAAAGACATCAGCAACCTGTTCTTCTCCTGTCCTGTACCCCTCCCCCCCTCCCCCAATTTAGCATACATATACCTTCAGAAGGCACATCTCACTAAGATAAATATTAAAACTGATCTACACGTAAGTAATGATATCTTTTGAGAGAACACCATACCATACACTGCTACCATAATTTGATCTTACTTTTTTTTTTAAAGTCCACAAATGACTTCTGTTCAAGTGTGCAATAAGTTTCTAGATTGTTCTTTATATATTAATAACATGCATTTATATTACATCAAAACGTACACACACACACAGACACACACACAGACACAAACACACATGTGTTTTTCTGACATAATCTAGTTTTTAAAAAGTCATACTTTCTCTGAAAGCAGAATCTGAGACCCAGCCTGTATGGTTCGTGGTTCCAGGCACATACAATCACACCAGCATCATCAGGGGTCCAAATTGCCTGTAAAAACAGATGAATATCAATTATTCACACACAAGCATTGTCTGAAGTGCTTTCTGCCTGCAGGTGCAGACTAACAGTAATCACTGTCTGTTTTATACACTAAAATACATACACAAGAATTCTCCTTAACTGCAAATAGGTTAATATCAAGACTCAGGTGATGCTCTTTCGGCCATTGGATCAATTCAGTATAAGACTCATAATTATCAAATGCCTTGGTGGCAAGTGTTGATTACAGTGCTTAACATCTTGCACTTTCCAACAGCATGATCAGTTAGTTGGGATGCCAACACCTTTCCAAGTCATGACAAAAGATGTGCTGAGGAAGGTGAACAATGGTATTCTCTGTGTGGAGTGTCAAGCAATGCCTAAGAGGTCACAGGTAGTTAGTTTTCTCTGGATATTTTCTCCGAGACACACAGGTATGTGGGGAAATGAACAGAAGACTGGCAGATTCTGCATCTCTGGATGTTGAACTGATATCTGACAAGCTCTATGTAGTCTAGGCCCTTTGGCAGCATGTGAACAATGCTGAAGTGTGAACAGATCATCCCAGACTGCAGGAAATGGTACAAGAGGGAGTAACCATGTGATTTGGTCATCACACAACGGTTTATGAGATAATGCTTTTTTTACCATCAGAATTGAAACTCTATGCTGGCTGAAGAAGATGGGATGGGACTCTTATGGGAATGTTCCAAGTGCTGTAATGTCAGTTCTTGACTAGAATTTTTTTTAAATTTAAATTTTAAAAAACCCAGCTGTCCAGTACAGTTGGAGGAAGGCAAAAAGATAAATATCTAGATGGCTTAGCCATATGGTTTAACTGGGACAGGATCTAAGCCCTGATCTGAGAATGATAACTGTAAAAACTAAGCATACAGCAAAGAGAGAACGAACGAACGAACGAACTTTATTTTCAAAGGGTTACAAATTAGGCACGCAGGCTAATAGACTGCAGAAGTATAGACATGCAGAAGTATAGAGTGGACAAACAAACAATAGATACATAGACTGCAGAAGTATAGACACAAACAATAGATAATAGACTGCAGAAGTAGTATAGACACAAACAATAGATATACACACAACAATAGATAATAGACTGCAGAAGTATAGACACAAACAATAGATAATAGACTGCAGAAGTATAGACACAATAGACTGAAGAAGTAATAGATAGATAATAGACTGCAGAAGTATAGACACAAACAATAGATAATAGATAATAGACTGCAGAAGTATAGACACAAACAATAGATAATAGACTGCAGAAGTATAGACACAAACAATAGATAATAGACTGCAGAAGTATAGACACAAAATAGATAATATAGATAATAGACTGCAGACTGCAGAAGTATAGACACAAGTATAGACACAAACAATAGATAAGAGACTGCAGAAGTATAGACACAAATAGACACATAGATAATAGACTGCAGAAGTATAGACACAAACAATAGATAATAGACTGCAGAAGTATATACACACAACAATAGATAATAGACTGCAGAAGTATAGACACAAACAATAGATAATAGACTGCAGAAGTATAGACACAAACAATAGATAATAGACTGCAGAAGTATAGACACAAACAATAGATAATAGACTGCAGAAGTATAGACACAAACAATAGATAATAGACTGCAGAAGTATAGACACAAACAATAGATAATAGACTGCAGAAGTATAGACACAAAAAATAGATAATAGACTGCAGAAGTATAGACACAAACAATAGATAATAGACTGCAGAAGTATAGACACAAACAATAGATAATAGACTGCAGAAGTATAGACACAAACAATAGATAATAGACTGCAGAAGTATAGACACAAACAATAGATAATAGACTGCAGAAGTATAGACACAAACAATAGATAATAGACTGCAGAAGTATAGACACAAACAATAGATAATAGACTGCAGAAGTATAGACACAAACAATAATAATAGACTGCACAAACAATATAGACACAAAAAATAGATAATAGACTGCAGAAGTATAGACACAAACAAAACATAATAGACTGCGGAAGTATAGACACAAACAATAGATAATAGACTGCAGAAGTATAGACACAAACAATAGATAATAGACTGCAGAAGTATAGACACAAACAAACAATAGACTGAGAAGTATAGACTGCAGAAGTATAGACAATAGACTGCAGAAGTATAGACACAAACAATAGATAATAGACTGCAGAAGTATAGACACAAACAATAGATAATAGACTGCAGAAGTATAGACACAAACAATAGATAATAGACTGCAGAAGTATAGACACAAACAATAGATAATAGACTGCAGAAGTATAGACACAAACAATAGATAATAGACTGCAGAAATAGATAGACACAAACACACAAACAATAGATAATAGACTGCAGAAGTATAGACACAAACAATAGATAAGACAGACTGCAGAAGTATAGACACAAACAATAGATAAGAGACTGCAGAAGTATAGACACAAACAATAGATAAGAGACTGCAGAAGTATAGACACAAACAATAGATAATAGACTGAAGAAGTATAGACACAAACAATAGATAATAGACTGAAGAAGTATAGACACAAACAATAGATAATAGACTGCAGAAGTATAGACACAAACAATAGATAATAGACTGCAGAAGTATAGACACAAACAATAGATAATAGACTGCAGAAGTATAGACACAAACAATAGATAAGAGACTGCAGAAGTATAGACACAAACAATAGATAATAGACTGCAGAAGTATAGACACAAACAATAGATAATAGACTGCAGAAGTATAGACACAAACAATAGATAATAGACTGCAGAAGTATAGACACAAAAAATAGATAATAGACTGCAGAAGTATAGACACAAACAATAGATAATAGACTGCAGAAGTATAGACACAAACAATAGATAACAAACAATAGACTGCAGAAGTATAGACACAAACAATAGATAATAGACTGCAGAAGTATAGACACAAACAATAGATAATAGACTGCAGAAGTATAGACACAAACAATAGATAATAGACTGCAGAAGTATAGACACAAACAATAGATAATAGACTGCAGAAGTATAGACACAAACAATAGATAATAGACTGAAGAAGTATAGACACAAACAATAGATAATAGACTGCAGAAGTATAGACACAAACAATAAATAAGAGACTGCAGAAGTATAGACACAAACAATAGATAATAGACTGCAGAAGTATAGACACAAACAATAGATAATAGACTGCAGAAGTATAGACACAAACAATAGATAAGAGACTGCAGAAGTATAGACACAAACAATAGATAATAGACTGCAGAAGTATAGACACAAACAATAGATAATAGACTGCAGAAGTATAGACACAAACAATAGATAATAGACTGCAGAAGTATAGACACAAAACACTGCAGAAGTATAGACACAAACAATAGATAATAGACTGCAGAAGTATAGACACAAACAATAGATAATAGACTGTAGAAGTAAAGACACAAACAATAGATAATAGACTGCGGAAGTATAGACACAAACAATAGATAATAGACTGCAGAAGTATAGACACAAACAATAGATAATAGACTGCAGAAGTATAGACACAAACAATAGAAACAATAGATAATAGACTGCAGAAGTATAGACACAAACAATAGATAATAGACTGCAGAAGTATAGACACAAACAATAGATAAGAGACTGCAGAAGTATAGACACAAACAATAGATAATGCAGAAGTATAGACACAAACAATAGATAGAAGTATAGACACAAACAATAGATAATAGACTGCAGAAGTATAGACACAAACAATAGATAATAGACTGCAGAAGTATAGACACAAACAATAGATAATAGACTGCAGAAGTATAGACACAAACAATAGATAATAGACTGCAGAAGTATAGACACAAACAATAGATAAGAGACTGCAGAAGTATAGACACAAACAATAGATAATAGACTGAAGAAGTATAGACACAAACAATAGATAATAGACTGAAGAAGTATAGACACAAACAATAGATAATAGACTGGAGAGGTATAGACACAAACAATAGATAATAAACTGATGAAGTATAGACACAAACAATAGATAAGAGACTGCAGAAGTATAGACACAAACAATAGATAATAGACTGCAGAAGTATAGACACACAAACAATAGATAATATAGACACAAACAATAGATAATACTGCAGAAGTATAGACACAAAAGAAGTATAGACACAAAAAATAGATAATAGACTGCAGAAGTATAGACACAAACAATAGATAATAGACTGACTGTATAAGTAAACAATAGACACAAACAACAATAGATAAGAGACTGAAGAAGTATAGACACAAACAATAGATAATAGACTGCAGAAGTATAGACACAAACAATAGATAAGAGACTGCAGAAGTATAGACACAAACAATAGATAAGAGACTGCAGAAGTATAGACACAAACAATAGATAATAGACTGCAGAAGTATAGACACAAACAATAGATAAGAGACTGCAGAAGTATAGACACAAACAATAGATAATAGACTGCAGAAGTATAGACACAAACAATAGATAAAGTAGACAGCAAAGTATAGACACAAACAATAATAATAATAGACTGCGGAAGTATAGACACACAAACAATAGATAATAGACAGACACAAACAAGTATAGACACAAAAACAATAAATAATAGACTGCGGAAGTATAGACACAAATAATAGACAGCAAATAGACACAATAACAATAAATAATAGACTGAAGAAGTATAGACACAAACAATAGATAATAGACTGCAGAAGTATAGACACACAAAATAGATAAGAACAAAATAATAGACTGGGAAGTATAGACACAAATAATAGATAAGAGACAGCGGAAGTATAGACACAAACAATAAATAATAGACTGAAGAAGTATAGACACAAACAATAGATAATAGACTGCAGAAGTATAGACACAAACAATAAATAATAGACTGCGGAAGTATAGACACAAATAATAGATAAGAGACAGCGGAAGTATAGACACAAACAATAAATAATAGACTGAAGAAGTATAGACACAAACAATAGATAAGAGGCTAAAAGAAGTAAATGAACACAAAATAATAAACTAATATCCCCAGATGGAATATACGCCTCCAATCCACTAAAGTCTTTTTTGATTTATTTACAAACTCATGCAGCTCATTGTCCTCTCTAATTAAGTGCCTCCCATCACCTTGGGTAAGTGAATAATTTCCACTTCCTTCTTAGATGTGTTCATGGACTATCTGTCTCCTGAAATGTTTTACAGAATAGGTTGCCAACCCCAAGATTAATCCGACTCTTAGTCCCTCGTAGAACATGCTAGGTAGTGTGCAATGTTTAATTCTCTGTTTCTCGTTACAGCTCGGGTAACAGATGAGCTAGACAAGCTTACAGTCAGTCAAAATGCTACAATTATATCTTACAACATGTCTGGTAGGGTGCAGTGTCTCATTCTCTGTGTCTTATTACAGCTTGGGTAACAGATGAGCTTTACAAGCTTATAGTCAGTCAAAATGCTACAATTATATCTTACAACATGTCTGGTAGGGTGCAGTGTCTCATTCTCTGTGTCTTATTACAGCTTGGGTAACAGATGAGCTTTACAAGCTTATAGTCAGTCAAAATGCTACAATTATATCTTACAACATGTCTGGTAGGGTGCAGTGTCTCATTCTCTGTGTTTTATTACAGCTCAGGTAACAGATGAGCTAGACAAGCTTACAGTCAGTCAAAATGCTACAGTTATATCTTACAACATGTCTGGTAGGGTGCAGTGTTTCATTCTCCATGTGTCCTTCATGAGTTAACTAAGTCTACAGTCAGTCAGAATGCTCTATTTATGGTGGACTGACATATTTATTTCAGACAATCCATATCATGGAAAAATATCAATTCAAATAAGAGGAAGAACTAATCTACTTAACAATTTAACAGTCACGATAAAATGAATGTTATGGCCAGAAGCCTTCATCCACATAAAACACAAATGTACAATGATAAAACTACAAACAAATTGTTCCTTAATTCACTTATCTGTTGCGACATCTCAATTATAATCCTGAACAGTAGAAATGTCTAAGTATGGGTGTGGTTACAGAATAGATACTACACAGAAGTATGTGAAAGGGCATTTTATCCATCATACAGGTGCCGTCTGCATGGTGAAGATTCACTGCAATAGATCTCCAACCTGTCTCTTACCTTGGTTGTACACTCTCTTAGACTCTTATTGGTCCATATCTTGATTTTTACCTCCTACTTATATTGCTGCCTACCTCTTACTCTCTTGCCTCTGCCTTTTCCCTCCAGTATGGCTTTTTTTTACTGAAATGTCTTTTAATGTGGGCAAAATATTTCAAATGTTTTTTTTTAAATTTAATTCAGAAACATGTTGAAATAACTTCACCTAAGTCTTTAGATAACCAACATACTGGGGCTCACTTAATATTCTTAGTCGAGGTTTTAACTTTACTGCAGTCGCGTCGCCCCATACTTGCTCCGTTTCAGTGCCAGTGGTAATCAAAATGAAAATTACCCCTTGTCCCATTTGTAAAACTGATGAACAATTATTCCCGGCACAATCCAGAAATATGTGCACACAATAAATGCATACAGCAGTTGCTAGACGTGCCAAAGCCAACAGTCACCACTAGAAATACAGTTTTTCATTGATGGAAGAAATCTGTCACAATAAGTTGGCTATACACACATAAACTTATTTAATCAGCCACCGGCTATACTGAATACCATAACTCAACCGCTGCACAAATGACAGGCATTCCCCATGAAAAACACAGCTCACAGTGCTGCAATGAGCATTAAACTTAGTAGCTTGGGCAGTGAAACTCTCGTCCATTTGTGGAAACTGCACTAGCAAAGCACTGGCTGAAGCAAAATAATTTCAAAGCTAAACATTCTGCCATACTTAGTTCCCTTCATTAGAGCAGAAGATCTCTTAATTATCGGAAGATCATTAAATACCCTCTACATACCCTCTTGACATCATCATTCTTTCCACTGGCAACCTCCTCATCACCACCAGCACCGATATCTTTGAAAGCTTTAGCATCAAAGAAACCTCCAGTGTTGGGCTTCTTCTTCTCGGCCATGTACAGGATGTGCCCTTCAGATGATGACCATTCGAAGGAGCCAAACTGACCTGTTATGGAGGGTTATTATTAATGTTATGTTATCACAATCTAGGCCTTTGCACACTGGGCATAAGCATAGGTGCTCAGTCCTAAGGTGCTGCAGCCACTATAAGGTACGTCTACTGATAGTTCATAGGAGGAGTTAGTTATAGTATCTCCTGTTAGATGCCATAGGCATGCTCCACCAAGCTAAACTCTTCGGTCATGCATATGATTAGCATCACAGATTCGCCGTTATCCCCAAACCAAGTTCGTACAGCGCTGATATCAACTCTGTCCATGCTTCTTACCGTTTGTATTGGTGCATAACTTGCCAGCTTGGTCAATTCTTTCATTACCATTTACTCTGGCATACCCAGGTGTGTAGATCCAAATGATGGAGGTTAAGTGCGACTTCCAAATGCTTCTACCCATTAGGAGCATAGATTACTTGTCGCGATTTTCTGAAGAATGTTCATGGAGTCTGAAACGATTACCGCATGTGAGCCTGCTTGTTCTATAACCCGCATGAGTGCTCCGGAAGCAGCAGTTATCTCCATGGTCATGCTTGACATTGTTGTCTGGTAAACCCTGCTATCCTCTTTTATTGTTTCCCCATCCTTTGTGCTGTGTTTGCCCATGCTTATCTTGACCCACGCTTCACTGACCCATCTGTGTATATGATGATGTCTTCTTGGCGTAAATGCTGATCAATTAGTGCCCTGATATCCACGTCTACGGTGGCAGGTATCTGACTCCTGCAATACCTCTCTAGCAGTTTGACAACCTCAGACAAGACACATGTCTACTGGTGTTTTCATCCACTCTTTTCCGTGCTTCATTTAATTTAGGTGACACTCATTTATGGCACAGAGAAGACAGAAAAATATAAGACAAGCATAAGCTCCATAGTTTGCGGAATATTATCCATTTTCTCTCTCTTGTCTTAGGACATGCTGGTTCTGCACTCGGCACAACTTGGTGGTAAATGTATGCCTGACAAGCTAGATGGGGTCAAGATCCCCTTGGAAGCAAGCTGACAGTGTGGATGCACAAACATCAAAGTCTGAAGGTGCAGCTTAAAATTACCAGGGGATATGGCCAATAGTCAATGCACACAGGAAAGACAAGGTAGATGTACAATCACATTGCTGCTGGTACTATCAAAACTGGAACTTCGTGCTGGCTGCTGAAGATGGGGACAGTGTGCTAATGGAAATGTCCCAAGTAATGTGATGTCAGTTCTTAATTGAACTGAACTCAACTCAATTCTTTCACTATCATGGCACAGAAATAAATAATTTCATGAACTGATACATTACAGAGATTGTAACACAGAGAAACAACAATCCTGATAGTCAGCAAGGCAACTGATTGAAAAGACAAATTCTCTAAACTCAAAATCTGACTAGAAAACGCTTCTTCTTCAACACATTTTCTGGCTGTAAACTCCCAAGGACCTTTCTGGTTGTTTGTCCACTTCTGGACTTTCCTCTTTGAGGACTAGAGTTAAGCATGCATATTCATTTTACAGATCATGCTTACTTGTATGCAGGCTGTTGGTTACTTGCTTCTCAGGTAGATGCATTGTGACTTTGAATGAAACACTGATCATATCTACATTGATCAAGCTCATGGTGTCAAGGGCCTGTGTGTCTATGAGACGACTGGTAGATGATGATAGTGGATGATAGACTAGCAATCAGATGACTACTTAGCGACAACACATTTAATTGCCCTAAGGAGTTTCCGACAAGGACATTGTGACAGATGAGTTAAAACTGAGAGATTCACAGCGGAGTTAACTGACCACAAGATGAACAGTGGAAAACGAAAACAGTGAACAGTTTTGGGAAGTTGGCTCAGAAACCTGGACTGTGGTGATGGCAACTGGTGCACCACCGCGTGTGGTTCATTATCTCAGCATCCCACTAGGAAACTCTGATGGGGTGGGGGGAAGGGGGGGGGGAGAACCCTAACAGATACAGTAAAAATCTCATTAAAAAGAACTCGCTTCAAATAAACACTCAATTGACACACACAAAATGTGTGTTCTAGCAGAGATGCATTGAGTCTCTTGTTAGGGCAAATTGTTGTAACACAAATTCTTGATTTTTCGGTCCCTTGGAATTTGCGTTTACAAGGTTTTTCCATTCAATTAAAAGTTTCAACCAAAGATTAAAACATGAAGAAAATAAAGCCTCAGTTATAAGATGTCATAGCCTGTGTTTAGTGAATTCATATCAACGTGAGTGCTGTCACCCCTATTTTAAATACAACTGATAAAAGATTACTCTTGTCTACTCAGTACTTTCCTAGTATTCTCTTCATACTGACAAGCATAAATATTTAATACTGACCCACACACACAAATTCTCTCAGCTGTATCTATATAAGCTGTAATATTACCATCATTATCGATGATCTTTCCATGCTTCTCCAGTGCTAACACATCAATGGTCTTCAATCTCCTGGTAGCATCAAATATCTAAGACAGAAGAAAAGGCACATGAGTTCAGCACCAGACACACAGGTCAAATATCAGCTAACACTAACGCAGATGCCAAGAACCAAACAGGCACATAAAACCAAATTTTTAAAAAATGGCATACAGTGTTAAATATCAGAAATACAGTGGCAGTTACTGTCAAATATCACAAATCAACTACCAAATAACGTCTGCAACTTACAGTTACTATCAAATATCATAGATATACTGAAATTTACTATGAAATGTCATAAATTTAGTAATAGTTACAAGAAAAAGTAAAAAAACGACAGCAACAGGTTACTGTAAAACTACTCAGGAAATACCTCCAAGTACTGCTTATCCTCATTCTTCTTGTCTTTCAGGGTACGTACAACCGCTCGCAGCTTTCCTGAGGGTGACAACTTATTCCAGGATCTAAACAAGGGGAAATATGACAACAATGGATTACCCAACATTTTATACTGCTGAAGACTATATTTTACATTTATCAGGAGACTCTTTCATCTGCCTTTTATCTGGCAACAGAACATAAGAAATTAACAATTTATTTACATCCATGCAATCTGATTTTGTCAGTTGACGTTCAGTAGGAGAGATCTTAAGAGACATATAATTTGAATCCTGAAATCAGAAGTGAATCATGGACAGTCAGTCGATTAGTGAAAAATTAGCAGCAGAGATTTGGTATAACAGATTAATTATAAGAACACCATGGACAGATTCACCCTCTGGAGATGATGCGGCCGAAATATCGGCCCACAGCACTGTAGCCAAAAAGACAGCTGGGCCAAACGGATGGCCCTGTGTCATAAAAGCCTTGAGACTGGCTGGCAGGTTTTCGTATCAGCCAATCAGATTGTTTCTTGCATTTCATACATATGTGGGTTGTTTAATGACAGCTTTTGAGAAAGTTTGATGTGTTCTGTAATTTTAATGCAATTTTTGTGTGTGTGTGTGGGCTTACCTGTGCCCAACAACGGTGAAAAGGCCTATTGCGTCATAGCAACCAAAACACAGCAGAAGGCATGAAAATTAGTAAAACCATGTGTTATAAGTGTCTAAATGACCTCCATGGCCTTATTTTCTCAAAACACAAAAAGTGGGACTTATTCAGTCTTCACCAATAAAACTATTCACCAAAATTTTATAGTTAGTCATGTTTGATCCCAAGTTTAAAAAAAAAAAAAGCCTGCATAAATTTTGCAAATCATAATAGTAGATTTGAAAAAATGTTGAGATTTCAGTTTGATTCATACATATTCTGTTCATTTCTTTTCCTCCTCGAATATATTTAGTTTTGTATATGTTAATTACACGCTTTATTTCTTGTGTGTGTGTGTAAGCTAAGAGAATTCTTCCCTGAAGGCTTCGTCTTTATGGCAATGAAACTCCAAAAAAAGCTCTGTTTCCAAAGGGTTAAAAAGGAGTAATGCTGATGTCTTGAATTAAATTTAGCATACAAAGAGGACTGATTACCTGCATCAGAAAAAGACAATCCACATTCTTTGGTCATATCGTGAGATGGAGAAAGATGGAGTACATTGCGACGCTGGGAAAGTTTGAGGGGAAAGAAGCAAAGTGAGACCAAGAGAGAAGATGCTTGACAGTTTAACATTATGTTATTGAAGATCATCTGCGCCAGAAATCATCAGAAGTACACGAGGCAGAGGGTTGTGGACAGACATAACTACTAACACCACATGGCATGGACTAGAGGAAAAAAGTAGTAGTTCTAAATACTGATGCAAGATAAATTATTAACTCTTTCAGGAGGATACTTTTTTCGGGGTTTCGACAGCATGCATTTTTAACGGAATTGGTTTTTTTACTACAACATGACTAAGATAAAACCTTCCTGAAGAAAAAAGTAATGGATCAGTATTACAACAACTAAATATTTAAATGATACAACATTCAAGGATGTTAGACACACAGGAAGATTTTTTTAACATGTGAAATGTGCTTACGTTACTTTTAAAATTTTTTTTTTATTTATCAACAACACTGCTATCTTTTTTCTAAGGATTCACATACCTTCTCTTTTCATTTATGCCTCAGCTAGTCTTTACTTGAGACAATTAAACTGAATACTCATTTTTATGATAATTTTTGTATGATATGTCAAATTTCACAATAACTGAATTCTAGACCCAGGTGATCAAAACAGGGACGATCCAATGCACTTGCATTATTAATCATAATGCCAAAACTACTGTCAGTATCTGGGTGACATTCACCAATGACAGCAGCGGTACGGAGAGTTCTAAACCTTTTCCCTCAACACTTGGTCTGAAAAATCACATAAAACTTGTATCACAGTGATTTAATTAAAAACAAATTGATAATCAAACATATCTCCTCATCACGTTTTGAAAACAATAATACTTCCTTTCGCTTATTCTAGTTTTTAAACATATGTTCATACAAATTCATTTTCCTACCAAACGAAACGATAACATTGTCTATGTGAGAGCAGATGTATTTGGGATGGATTCTCACCCATTTTATCAGCAATATGTCCTGAAAGAGGTAAGGAGAATAAGTTCCGTATACCTGAACACAACAAACTTTAAGCAGTATAAGTTAAAAATTATTTTTTTTTTTGGAAATATGTATCTGTTTCCCCCTTAATTTCCGATTTTACCGCTTCTGTGTGCTGAGGGAGATTTAAAGTTGTGCTTCTTGTTCTCCGGGCCACCTGAACTGTGGAGAGCTTCTGTGATGTTATCTTTCCATCATGTTCTTGGTCTACCTTAGTCTCCATGTCATTCTCTTTTGGTGTATGCATTGTATAGTATGATGACACAAGGCATTCTCTCTAAGTGGGCCAACCATATGATTTGCTGTCTTTGCATATAATTTAGAATTCGTTCTGTGCTGACTTTGTTCTTATATTCCTGATGTTTTCTCTTTTGGTCACTCCTGTAGCCCTTCTCAGATACTCCAAACATTACATTCTTTACATACAAAATAAAAAATGCTAACATCTCCACCTTGAATGCTGGATGCAGTAAATAAATGCATCCACCGCTATCTTTGGCAATATTATGTGTTAATGCTCCATTCTTTTTAAAAGCTGTGAAATAATCTCTTTCAAGAGTTGTGAAATAATCTCTTTCAAGAATTGTGAAATAATTTCTTTCAAGGGCTGTGAAATAACCTCTTTCAAGGGCTGTGAAATACTCACTATTTGCCTTCTTCTTCTTCTTCAATCTATGGTATAATACACACATTTTCAGTAACAATGTAGTTTAAAAACACCCCAATTGTCTTCATTAAAAAATGAAAACTGGTCCATGACTTACATCTATTTGTTAGCATAGGAAAGTTGCATGTTCTCAGAGTATATACTTCGTTTTCTGATGTTGTGACAAACACTGTTAATGTTGTTTAACCTCTGCATTCCTACAGCTAGTCTTTTAATTACTTTAGCCAGGAGAGCTTTAAGATTTTAATGTAAAGCCTAGACACACTAAAGCTGTCTTCTTCTGCATTTGTCCTCAGACGGTAGTTGGAAATGGGATGGGAGGAGTGGGTAGGCTGTGATGTCTGTGCCTTTTGGCCTAAACCTCTCATCAGTCCCCTTCACATGCTTCTTAGGGGGCAGTGAGTCTAAATTGTTTCTACCACCCTACCCTCAAAAGCCCCAGAAATGGGACCCTGGAACTAAAACGGTGGACTCAACTTTCTATGAAAATGCACCTACTCATTTTTAACTTCCTGTGGCGGTGTTGCAGAAATTACATCTCCAGTTGGAACAGCAATGGTATGCCAGCGATTTAAATTTGTTTTCTCTTTGCGCTCTATATTCCGTTGAGACCAGACTGACTGCACCTGAAGCGTTTTACCATCCTGACTTGGGAATATCTCACCCCGTGATGCCGTTGGGTAGCTTGCTAGTTCTCGGTAAATGGACACAATTTCACTTGCCTGTAAATTAAAGACACATGATTAAAACATCCAGGAATGTTAATTTTATAACTCCAGATATGATAAGGCATGTAACAGATCTTTCTATCTCATGATAAGGCGTGTAACAGATCTTTCTATCTCCTTTTGGTCTTCTTTAGTCCATGGAAACTGCCCATTTGTGTGCTTCTTATCCAGAGGTTATCAAGGACGTGGTTATTGTTTCTGTTCATCAGGTAGCAAGAACATGTTGGTAGGGAAGGGTAGGGCAAAATGCATGTAGTGTGCAGGATAGTCTAGTCTTGCATTCAAGTGGCTGAAACTTACAAAGTAGTAGTGTATTGTTGTGGTACTTCTTTGCGAATGTCCTGAGTGCTACGATGTCGTTCTTAACTCATAACCAGAAAAGAGTGTTGCCATCATTATTTTCTTTCTTACACCAGCACACTGTACAATGCTACTAAAACAACTTATACATTTAACTTGCCTAAAAACTATTGTTAACCCTATTGACAAGGGGATCTCAGTGGCGAAGTTGTAAAACCGTTTGCCTCATGCTCTGAAGTCTGCGAGTTCATTTTATGGCTGCACAGGTCAGCTCACAAGTGCAATTATTACGGAGATCCCTGGGGATCACTGATGGAGCTACAGAGTTCATGCTTTATGTGACACTCTTGGCAGGCAACTAGCCGTTCTGCGGAGAGACCAAGCCTTATGGGGGGATAAAACATAGTGCAATGAAGTTGATCCTCTCAACTTCAACCCTGTCTACAAACTTCTAAATGTCAAACTGCCTAGTAAAACCAAACAGCCAACAAATGCTGGGGTTGATTGTATATAACACTAACTCTAACCTTATCTAACAGCTGGATTACACTAACTCTAACCTTATCTAACAGCTGGATTATCAGGGATACAACATCCGCTGTTTAGAATTTCTTGGGACTGAATCCATTGTTGGCATCATTCTATGTTTCATTCACAGATGCCACAAGATAATCCTCTGTCTTAGCTCATCTGCATATTGTATAACATGTCTGGTATATGAATGTGTTACAGTCTTTCCCTCCTGTTATTGCTTGACCCATAACCCTAGTGGGACCTTGACAGGTATCAAAGACATGAGAGGAGCTGATATTTCAACATACATAAACACAAAATATATAACTAGAAGGCTCCCTGTTCCTGTGAAGGTTCTGGAGCCCAGTTTTATGAGATAAAAACATAACAGACCCACAGTGCATCTGTCTGAGTGGCTAAGAACCAACAGTCTGCATAAAAAAAGCTAGACCTGTAAAATGGATGCACGTGTAAAACTCAGATCCTGGAACAAGGCCAATATCCAAACGCTTACAGCAAACAAGACACACTACGAGGCTCGATGAAAAAAAGGAACCATACAGAGTTAACTGTTGAGGCCAGTCATTATCTGTCTTTACTGTCTGTGTTTACTCCATTTAGGGCGATGTAGAACAGGGAAGTTGTGAGTCTAGGGATTTTAGGCTGCATGGCTAGTGCAGTCACAACAAATTGTACAGACAGGACAATTTTCCCCCTTACAGAAAAAAATTCCTGTTCTTTATTAGGAATCAAACCTGGGTCTCCTACATAAGAGCCTATCACTCTAACCCCTCAACAAAGTTGTTATCAACAAACACAAAGATGAATGTTCCAGAAACACAGGTGGGATCAGCAGCTACTATGACCTAAATGATACCATGCAATGAATTTAATTAACCTATTTTTAATTTCAATTTAGGTCGAGTGGTGGTTTATACTTTTGAGACTCAAACAAACTGAGCCTCATATATGTAACATTTAACAATGCTTTATCATTGTGAATATCAATGCTTAAGTTTGTCAAGCACAAAGTAACCCAGGTTCCAAAAGTTTGTCAAGCACAGAGTAACCCAGGTACCAACTCTGTCAATATTCATGGTTGTGAGTTCAGGTCAATGACAGACCTGGCTTGTTATGACAGGTCTTTTCTTCTTCTTCTTTTTCTTCTTCTTCTTTATCATGTACACTGGCTGTAAACTCCGCTGGAAAGTTCTGGTTGCAATGACTCAAACAACTGTCTGCGTAACCAGCCTGCCTTGACCGGCTGGATCCCGATCAAAGAATCACTCAGCACACACACACTGGAATAGTTCTGTGATTCTAGCCATATGAAGGCTTGTGTCAAAACCATCACCTCCATCGTCATGCTGCTGGTAGTCATGAAGAAGGCACCGCTGGCTTCTTGAACTCTTCTGCCCGAAGAGTGAGCTGTAAATGCCCATGCATTCTTATGTCCTGGTATAACGGACCCGTCTGTGAAGATTACCACATCTGTCTCATCTGACGTGTCACTGACAAGCTCGCATACCTCGGCATTGACAGCAGCTGGATTTTGCTCCCAACAAGACACAGGAGAATGTGAGATTGGGCGCTTTAGACGTTGTTATCGAAACCTCGCCTGGATGGATATCTGTAAGGCTGCAAACCTGCATGATGTCATCCTCTGCCCTACCCAGCCATG